AGCTGTAACTCAAACAATTTAAACTGGTATGCCAAATTGTATAAAGGTATTTTGTAGCCCATGCTCAACCAATTCGTCTGTTATCAGGCCATTTAATAGTCTGTGATAAGCCTCACAGATATGGGTTAGTAGGGGCCTGCTACACATACTTTAATGTTGAGGGGGCCATGATCTGGCCATGGGCTTTCATGGGACTCTCTCCCATGGGCAAGAATGTCTGCATATAGAAAAGACTATGCTTTTTTTTAATTTTTATCATACAGTACACACAGTATGTATCACTCAACATATTTCAAAGGAATTACAATATACATCACACACACGCTATTACACCAAAGACAGCACAGAGGTTAACAGGTTTAACAAGGTCCTAATGGAAAGCCTCATTATACATGTATCCAGTTATTATGCATGTTACTATTGAAGAAATTAATCATTTCATACAGAATATTAATTAAAATGGTTTTATTACAAGATAAGATGATTTATGAGCTCTGCTGATCTGTAACCATGGAAACACAACTCAATCTGATAAATCCATTTAGCCTCCAACTATCAATGGGACATTTGAATAAATGAAACTGGTTTTGTGAAAATGTCAAGTGTTTCACTGCAGTAACCAAGCAGTTGAGGGCCACAGTGAATTGGGCGAAGAGACACATTTTGGTACGACAATGTTCTGTTGAAGAAAAGAACTGGTTTTAGGACACTTGTACAAAGCCATGACTGAAGTATTGTTGGTTATGGATGAATATTGTAATGCGTAAACGTAATGATTACACAGTTATACGTTAACAAAATGCTGAAAACCTATCGGCATGAAAAGTTTATTTTGATGACTTAAGCTATTGGGCTGCAACTAACAATTATTTACACTAATCTGTTGATCATTTTGTTTGATTAATAATTTAGTCTATTAAATGCCAGATAATGACAAATGACCAATGTGATTTCCTCATAAGGTGATACCCTCCGATTGCTTGTCTTGACAGACCAGCAAAGCCAAGTTGTGAATATCCGGCATTTTGCTTGATAAATGACAAAAATGATTATCAGAATTCCTATTGAATAATTCTCCATTGATTGTTGTAAGCTGATCAGACCCATTTTGAAACTACAAGGACTAAAGTGTCCATAAAAACTATGATCTATAAATGCAGTACTGCAGAATATATATAGGTCTGGTTCAGTGCTCCCTATAGCATCCATCTGCATTCTCTTTGTCACGTGTTTGTGTTTGCCTCCCACCAGCAGTGTTGTCAGTATCCCTGGGCCAGGTACTGAAGCGCTTTAATAATCTGCACACATTTATGAGCCTGTGTCCGAGCTCATAGATCAGTGTCAGCGCGCCGACCTACGAGAACATCAGTCAGATCGGATACAGACTAATGAAGGCCTGCTCACATTACCTCCGCGGTCAATCAAACAGGCCGTTAGTTAATCATCAGCATCGCTCTCATTAAGAAACAGAGATACCCACGGAGATTCAGCCCAGATCTTCTGGTGCAGTCAGTGCCCTTCTAAACTGTGTGATGTATGGTTTTGCATGCAGAGGATGTGACAGGTGACATTTATCGTTGTGTTTTTTTTTTTTAACTAGGATGCATGGATCTGATGTTTTCAGTCCAGATACTGATGCCAATACCTGGGCTTTGGGTATCAGCTGATACAAAGTACTGTTGCAATACAAGTGTTTAATTAACAAGCTGTATACGTCACTGTGTGCAAGTGACTGGGCTTATTCTCTCATGTAAGGCAACATCAGGCTTGTGACACATGAAAACATAGATATAAATTTACTGAGTTTGACGTGTACACGTACGTATTATCATACATAAATATACAATTAAATTGAATTGAATAGAGTAGCCCCATTGTCACTCAGTACTGGCCTGACAGTCGATGTCAGTATTGGAATGACACATCCCTACTTTTACTTAACAGTTAAATTTGCTTATCCAGGATCTCACAGAATGCATTGGGTTGTTGAAATGTATTGTCTTACTTGTGATGAACACCAGTATGCAGGTGACCATGTACTAGGACAAAGGACAAAGTCAGGTGACGTAGTTTAAAGAGCAACAGAGACCGCATAGGAAGGCAGCCAGGGGAGTGGATGGGTCAAACCAACACAGGACTTTGAACCAGGAGACTGAGGTTCATGTCCTTTGTGAAACTAAAAGTCAATGTTGAGTTACTTTAAGTCAAATTGTCACCTTATAAGTAAATAATGTGGCAACGCCCAACCATGATTTCTCTTCCTAATCCTGACCTGACTGGTAGGTGTGCTAATTTGCAAGACATCATATGAACCGTGTGCATCACTTTTTGTAAGATAGCATAAGAACCATTGTATGAGGATACAAGTGTCGGTCGATTGGTCAGTGGAATGCCTTGCCATCTATTGGATGGGTTGCGCTGAAATTTGGTACACACATTATTTTTCCCTTTAGGATGAATTGTATTCACTTTGGTAGATAACTTGTACGAGTCTTATTGAGCTTTGCGGTCCCTATCAAACATGTAGAATGAGTAAAATTGTAGTTCTACATTTGGAACATTGTCTTTGTAATTGTCTTGTCTCCTGTATGAAGCGGTGCAGTCATTCACCGCAGCTCATTGACGTCCCTGCTGGGAGCTGTGTAGAGAAGGCGTGGAGGAAAATTTCGACATGGTGACAACATTTCATTGTGGTCACGTATCCAACAGACAGAAAATGACAGTTGCTCAAGCGTCTCAATGTAGACAATGTATTTGCTGCTGTGACACTGACTGGCATACTTTGCCAAAAACTTTCTCTAAAGTTTTTATTTATCCAGGGAAGGCTTGCTGAGCATGCATGCTGTTTTCCACTGACATCCTGGACGCTAGCCAGTGTAATAGCAGTTGGAGGTTAAATGCCTTGTGGTAGAGAAGTTTTACTCATACGCCATTCTCGTCCAGATGTTTGCAACCAGTCTGCAGGATTTCAACTAGATACTTTATGCCCAAAACCCCACTTCTCCTGCATTTACTCTTGGGCTTGTGGTTTTGCTGTGGTTTTATGATTTGTGATTTACACACGAGCATAACAAAGGAAGACTTTATTGAATGTTTTTTCCATGAAGGTCAGAACACATTAATCCCATTTGCTGTTGGCTTTATCCACCCCCACCACAACCACCACACACACACACACACACACACACACACACTCACTCACTCATTAAGTAAATAATGGCCATTTTGCTTTGTGTTTTACAGCGCTTGAACTTTCAGTACAGACAGAGAACCACAATGATAATGATAAAAATGAATAAGCATTATAATGAAGACAATTTCCTGGCACGACACAATTCCACAGCCTTTGATGACAAATGGTTCTGCATTGACTCAAAAACTGTGAACTAATCTGTAGTTGCAGATGTTTCACGGATCAAAGAAGCTTCATCTGTTCTCTTGACAATGCTTGCGACAATGCCTTCCTGACGCCCCATCACAGGTTGTTTTACAAAAAAATCGCACCTTAAACATGCCCATCTTACTGTCACATGATGGCCATGTCACCTGAACAACCCAAGCCTAAATACTTATATGTGACTCATATACATTACATTTGCAGTAAAACATCATAAATGCAACGTCTACAGTTCAAAATGAATTAAAACTGAGTCAAAGAGATATAATGTCACTAAAATTAAACCTTTTGTTTGCCTTACTTGTCATTTATTACAGTAATTTTTGAATATAAAGAATTGCGATGTCCCTCCACAACTGTTCCTGGAGCCAAAGTCCTGAAAGTCCTCTTTTAAAGGGGACCTATTATCCTTTTTCTTATTTTCTGTTCAGTGTTGGATGTTCATATTAAACGTGGCCAAAGTTTTAAATAATGAGGTAATCATATATGAAAGTAATCCCTGTGAACAAACACCTCAGGCTTCAGATCGTTCTCAATACTCTGTTTCCAACAGTTTTTGTTTTTTTACTTTGGCTACATGATGATGTCAGTTCATGACAGATTGCTTTATATGTTCATCTGCTCTAGGCATGCTACTGCAAGTGTTTACATTACATAGCCTACACTGCTACATGAAGCTGCATGCTAATATCAGAGAAACATGTAATCTTGGTTGCCGATGTCTTACGTCTTTCCCCCGATTTCGTATCATATTCCTGCTGGAACATATCTGATTGTAAAAATTTTGATTTGGAACCTTTTTATTGGTGATTTTTCATGGTAGAAAGTGCAACTACACTCTGTTACAGTCATTACCTGGCTCCAGTTATGATGCAGAGAGCCCTAGATGCAGGAGACCCGGAAACGCTGACCAATCAGAGCAGACTTGGCTTTTTGGCTGGGGGGCTTATAGAGATAGCACTAAAACAGAGTGTTTCAGACAGAAGGTGAACACAGGTGTTCAAGTACAAACAGTATGAGAAAAAAAGACGTTTTTTTTGATCATTAAAGCATGTTAACATGTTGTCGTAGAAACCCAGAATACACAATAATATAATAACTATAGGTCCCCTTTAATTTATTTTTTGAGATTGCAAAAATGAATATTTCCTGGCTACAGACAAATGATGATGCTGTCAGATGAAGGTGAACATATAAGGGTGGGATGTGCAGCATAGCAACATACAACACATCAACACTCCACATAAAAGCGTTCACCCTCCGTTCATCAAAATGTAACCGGGTCACTTGAGGCAGTCACAGCACAAACCGAGAGCTCATCTGAGCCTGAAGAAAGACATTCACTGTGAACCTAATTATTTTAGTATGTGTATTCTTGTCTTGCAGGCACACTACTAGGTTTAACAGTTTAATTCCCTTTGAACATTGCAGGGTAGAGCAAGGCAACAGTGTCTACTGCAAGAGGCATGATTCCTGGTTATGCCAATTTAAAGTACTTAAAATTAAGCTGTCCACTAAATGTTCTGAGTTATGCCATGTTACGACATAAGTTCCCAAGTGCATGACAACAGTGACTTATCTGTCCCTGCCTTCCCTCCTGCAGGAGCTCTGTCGTCAGCGCATGGCAGTCAAACCTCCAGCTGAGCGTCCGGAGCCCATCTCCTCCAGGATCAACAGCGTGTCGTCTCAGTTCAGCGATGGGGGTCAAGCCGTCAGCCCCTCAGCTCGCAGCAGCATCTCCTCCTGGAGCGAAGAGCCCGCTCACTCCAACATGGACATCTCCACTGGTCACATGATACTGGTGAGTTTCCTGTTGAGTGGCTTTGTTGTAATCATCACACCACACAAGCCATTCTCCTGTACACTGAATGTTATAATAGTCAGTAATAAGAATATGCCTCTGCTAGATAACCGAGGACATCAGTTTTAATGTGCATGATTTCATGATGGCTTTCAAGGACACATTCAAAGACATGGAGGGTGATCGAGAGCTGTCTTTTCATTTAGCACAAAGTCTGGATGACTAATGGTTTCAAATTACTTTATGTATTTTTTTGTCCTGACTGAATCAGTGGGACTGACGTTAATGTGTAAATCTAATCCACCCACTTCCCATATTGCACATGCAGAGTGGTTGAAAAGGGTTGACAAAAATTCTGACCCCAACTTTATGGAATACTAGAGAAGGAAAGTACGTGTTGAGGTGGGGTTGTATTCATGAATACTTAAAGGAATACTTCACCCAAGAAATGATCATTTGCATTTCAATTACTTACCACCTGTTATGTGTAACTCATGAAGAAAACATTGTTTTCCCCGCATGCCCCCATGGTGACAAAGAACTTAAAAAAATTTAAACAGTGAGAAAGTTCGTGATGAATTGAAGTAATAGGGGTTCACATTTAACAACAGCAAAACTATACCAAAACATCCTTTTACAAACTCTCACACAACTTGTGCAGTATAATCCAAGTGTCTTTTATCCAGTCATATACTCAGTACTTCCCAAACAGACATCCCTTTCCAACAGAGAACTGAACTTGAAGTGAAACTTATCTTTGCTCTCTTTAAAGCCAGACTCCATTCACAAAAGAGTAATTTTATCTCACTCAACATAAGCGCTACTGGTCTACCACTGACTCCATTAGTCAGTTTGTGTGTGTCATTGGTGATTTTGGTGAATCCGAACCAACCTTTTAAAACACCAAAGTCACACAATGACACACAAAAACTACTGATTGAGGCAGTGGTGCACCAGCAGCTCCTGTGTTCAGTGAGGTAAAATTACTGTTTTTCTGAATGGAGTCCGGCTCTGAAGAGAGCATAGCCAAGTTTCACTTTTAGTTCAGTTTCCCGTCGGACAAGGCTGTCTGCTTGGGGAGAACTGAGCATACGACTGGATAAAAGACACTTGGATTAGTAGTAGTGGATCAGTTTGCTGCACCCTTGACTTCAGTACGTTGTGATTTTATTCAGTTAATGGATTCTTTGTTCATCAAAGGCATGTGAGAGAAATAAAAGTAGTTTACTTCAGGAACTCAAGGTAACAGGAGGTGAGTAGCTGATATACAAATAATCATTCAGGAAGTGAAGCATTCCTTTAATAGAACAAAATGTTAACTAATTTTTCAGATATTCTAAAAGGTGTTGAGCTCATTGACGCTCATTTCTTATGCTGGAAAACTGAGCCAATCAGAGCTGTACAGGTGGGTTTAAAAACGCGGCTGCCACTGTTGTGTCCTAGAGGCAGAAAAATCACTACATCCATGGAAATATTGCGACAAAAAACGGCCACAAAAATGTTGATTAGCATGGATGACATGAAAATTGACATATTGCTTTGGACATTGGGAGACATGTTAAGAAAGCTTGTCCCAGGAACCATTATCACAGCTTTTGTGTTGATTTAAAATGACATTGGATGAATCTGTAACTTCTCTACTACGTGGTTGGGGCCAAACAAAACACAATACCCCCTAATTCTTAACAGAATTTGGCCTACACGAAAATGGTCAGGCTAAATAATAAAGTGAAAAGTATTCAGCTGGATTATCAGGTTGAGTTCATCCCTCAGTAACAAGTATTTTATTAAATGCTGATGTTTCAAAGTGAGCTTTATTTCAGCTCCACTGATAATTCTGCAGGGGAAAAAAATCACATTAACATTGTAATATTTTTGCCCTTACATTTCTACAGTATTTTTTTTTTTTTTTTTTTTTTTACCTTTGTGATTGGTTGTCTGTCTTGCCAGGCAGCTACCACAGATCCTCTACGTTTCTTTTATTTTCCCTTTTATCCAAAACATCCCATCACCCACTTCTCTCACCCCTGAAAACCATTTATCTCTTTCAAAACCAGCGTTATACAGTGTTTTTTTCTTTCACGTCTCTGTCTCATCTGCATTTCTGCATATAGCACTCTTTTCTCTCACACACACATGCACACATGTCTCTTTCTCCTCTCATTTCATCCTCTCACTCTCATCTGTCTCCCTATGTGTGTTTTTTTGTGTGTTTCTGTACATCTCATTACACCCACAGTTACTATAGGCAGGCTTCTTACCCTCTTCTATCCTGCAGATGAAAATCTCTATTGAACTTCGGTCGCATTTCGCAGAGCGCCATCGTAATTGCGATATATCTATTCACTTCAACCACCCATCACCGGCAGCACCACCTCCTCATCCCAACCCCCCACCCACGCCTCTCTCTCTCTCTCTCTCTCTCTCTCTCTCTCTCTCTCTCTCTCTCTCTCTCTCTCTCTCTCCCCCCTTCTTTCTCCATGCATTATGAAGCTGCCGGCGAGATGTGACAGAGCGGGCTTTTTGATGTGTTCAATAGGCACAAAGATACTAATTACCCCTGAGATTTGCACCAGAGTTGTGTTCAGGAGAAACGACTCCCTTTGCAGCCCCTGTGCCGCAGCGGAGAGAAGCTCTGTAGTTTTACACAATCCCGCTAAAGTGTTTCTTTGGCAAATGCACCCACAACAGGATGCGACGCGTGCGTTTGATTCGCCACAGTCACACGTGGATGAAAATAGACTTGAGTTTCGAGACAGCGAGGTCTGAACTTCTTCAAGTGCATTTGCTTTGTCTTCGCCTGATGAAGCCGTCGCGGCAGAGGCAGCATCACTTGAGAGATAAGAGGAATGAAATGGAGTGTTGTTCATGTTTTGTTAAGTATTCATTTGGTGTGTGGGCCACAGTCTGGTCAGGGTGATTACAGAATTTGTTATAATATAGAGACTTATATGTAAATGATGCGAGGGAAGGACAGAGAGCAAGTGTATCTGATGTGGCCGTGATGATTAAAGCGTTTTTGTGTAGGTGATGGACATTATCCTATTGAATGCTGATATTCCACTTTATTCCTCTCCAAAGTAACTTCAAAGTTCTAAAAGGCATTTTACACTCAACATAAACAGCAGGCCTGATGCAAAAAAAATTCAGATTCTTATCCAACCTTTCAAACATTTTTCTGTGAGGCTTGTTCATACGACTGCTCCAAATCAGATTCAACAAACTCTCTTAACTCAACCCAGACGGCAGAATAAATGTTGAGATTGTTCAATTTTGCAAACCATGGAGAACATCCATTTGTATTTCAAAAACACTGTCGATAAAGTGTGGTTATGTTTAGGCACAAAAAGCACTTGCTCATGGTTAGGAAAAGATCATATTTTGGCTTAAAATGTTCGCTTTTGGTTGCACAATCTATGTTGGAACACTAGTAATGTCTTAGTGAAGAACACTGGCAATTTCCCCGGTGGAAACACAGTGACAGGTTGCTTAAAAACATGTCCAGTGACTAAAAAGCCACTGGAAATGCAGCGATGATTCGCTAAAAAAATGACCTGCTTTATTGGTCTCAAACTGTGGTCCGCAGTGGTCTGCATCTTGGCAGGCATCTCACCTAGGTGTCACACCATCCACCATTCCCTCCACCTCCAAATGACAAAGTCAGCTCATACACTACGTCACTTTACGAACGTTGATATGATACATATGAAACGTACAAATGTAACATATCTGTGGTTTGCAGAATCATATAATGCCAACTTTCCTACTGGTAATCGGGCTGCTTCACCGTACAAACTTGTTGTAAATTGCTTGCTTCAGCCTGATGAATTCCACCTGTTCACAAGGAGGTGCACATTCCTGAGATTTCACTCAGAGAATCGAAGCCTCTGAAATTGCCATACGAGGCTACGGGGGCAACTTGTCTTTCACAAAACTTTTGTAAAGCTGAAAGAAGGATTTAACACCATGGAGTTTCAAGTGCTGCTGTAATAAATCAGCAGGAGAAAAACAACACATTTAGCAGCATCAGTTGTAGTTTCAGAGGACCACAAAAGCAAATATTAATAGTAAAACTGTCAGCGACCTGTAAATCGGCAAGTCATTATGATACTACAGTGAACAGGATATAGATTTTGCATTAAGGTTATTTTTGTCATATAGTCAGTTTTAATCTTAGTGTCATATTTTAACATCAGATTTATTAATATTAAGGCATTATAAGCCTTAAATTAAACAAGTTGTTTTCCCCCATGGAGAAAGATAGACAGTGTGTGCAGACGTCAGACGAGCATTAGCTGGAAAACATTACATTCATTGACTTTATATGGAGCTAAAATTCCAAAGAAATCGATTTATGAGTCATAAGAAATGATATTTTAGAAGAAGTAGACTGTAAGCTAGCTTGGCTTTGTTAGATTTAACAGTATGTCAGTGGAGCAAGGTAAGCTAATCGCTAACACGGTTATACTGTGATCTAACATAGGTTGTCCGCCTGAACAGAGCCAGCTATTTGTTTCGTCTTCACTCATCAGGGCAGAGATTTTGCCAGAATTTATGTTGTAAATATTACTTATTATTACGTATTTCACATTTTCATTCAAATTTAGTCAGTTTAGTCATACGTAGCGTAAAAATTACGAAATTTGATTCTTACCTGAGAGAAAATTCTAAGTATGAGAAAATTGATGAATGCCACAAACTGTCTTTAATCACTCGTACATGCCACATAAGAACAAATCTGTTTTGGTTGTGGCGTATTTGCTTGGCCTAGAAGACTGTCCTCACCAGAAAAATGGCATTGGCTGTTGCTGAACTGTTAAAATGCTTCAAACAATCTGCAGATAATGACTCCTCCCATAAAGGAGTAGCATGACATTCTTATAGTCCTACAAATCCTTTTGGGTTATTTTAGGTAACTGACTTTGACATCAATGACCACGTTTCCCATCCTTTATGGTGGGAGAGGTGGGGCACTGCAGGTTCCACATTCCTGTGTTAAT